AGCAAAAGCTGGTCAACAGAGTAGTTACCAAAACAAATTAATAAAAAATGCCATTGTACTCTAAACAGTGATCTCTATAATAAAGGATAGCATCACTGCCAAAATACAGTTGTAAAACATTACAACACTTGATACAGCTATGCATCATAGCTCTGTATTTAAAATATTAACATACAAGCTGCTAGTTAAGCATGTACCTTACCATGACATGTCAACGGGGTTATATCACTTCACAGCCTTGGTTTGATATACTGGATTTTCTAAATTGAGTACTGAAATGTTTTGTGGACAGTATATGACATTAAAAAAAAATCTACAGTTCATTCTCTAACTGTAATGAAGCTAACCGCTTTTCTAATTGAAAACAGGGCGATTCCAACAAAGCTGAATATTGGACTTTTCTAGTAGTGTTCATTTTACTGCTTGGTAATTTATAAATGCTTTAATTATCCATCCTTCCTTCTTATCGCTTCGTCAAATTCAGGGTCGCAGGGGAGCCAGAGCCTATCCCTGCAAGCAACGGACGCGAGGCAGGATACATAAACACAGACACCCACACATTCACACCGGGGCCAGTTTTCCCAAAAGCCAATTAACCTACCAGTGTGTCTTCGGATTGTGGAAGAAAACCAAAGCACCAGCAGAAAACCCACGCAAACACAGGGAGAACATACAAAGTCAACACAGACAGCAACAGAATTGAATCCAGGGCCCTAGTGCCTAACCACTGTGCTACTCTGCTTGAACTATTATTTGCACAAATAAATGCTTAAAAGTATAAAAACACACAATTGTGAAATACACTGGAAGATACTCTTTGACTGTCTTTATATATTGACACTGGCCAAAACATTAGGGCATTATCACCATGATGCAAGAAAGAGCTAGAACATTACTTATCCCATGTATTAAATATTGGCAGTGCAAACCCATTCCATTTTTCTATCTAGATCAATTTCAGACAAGGCTGTGATGAAGGTAATGGTGTGAGGGATTGAAATGCATGCTCTGTCAGTTCCACCAATTTTCAAAAGGATTGATATAAAAGGTATTTTCTAGTCACAAAAGATTCTGAAAGTCCTAGGCACTGGGAGAGTCTCTTCATTTGACTAGGGGTTACTAACATTTTGACAAGCGAGTAAAACATGATCAAACTCCTAACTGGAATAAAAAAAGTATGCCAACATGAAATAAAACAGGCTGCTCACCAAACCACCTTTTCATTCTGATTACACACACACACAACACCAAAATCCTTCCAATACTAAAAATAAAACTTTGCAATGAAATAGTTTGATTTCAGTTTTTTTTTTATAAGAACCTTTAGAACCTTTAATAAACCTTTAATAACCTTTAATAAATTGAATTCCACATATCTACACATAATACATTTTTTTTTACCTTCAATGTCTTCTTTGCAAAGGTACTCAAACTAAAATAAAGATTTGAATTGGGCAGCAATACCAATGCCTTCAGGGGTGTGCACTTTTACTGTTACTCCTGATATTGTTTCTAGAAGCAACAAATGCAATATACTGTACACTGATCTTTTTTTATACATTCCTATGCTGGGAAAACCGACTGCAACACAAATTAAATAACAGAAGATAAAACTATCTATATGAGGGCATTCAGTCCATCTAGTTTGCTTGGATGCTAGTAGCCAACTCATCAGAAGACCTCACTCAGCCACTGCTTGAAAGAAGCCAGGGTTATGAGCTTCAACAACATGAGTGGGAAGTTTGTTCCACACCCACACAACCTTTACATAAATCCCTTTTAACAGAACATTATTTGAACTATGGCAAGTAAAACAGTGCTCTCCAAAAGTATTCACCTCCTTCCAACGTTGTCCCATTCTGTTGAACAACTCATGCTAATTTTTAATCAAAGCTTGAAAGTTCAGACTGTATGCTTCCAGGGGGGAGAACAGTTAGATGTCAGCAAAAACTGCACAGAAACATCACAGATATATCGACTGCAGAAATTTACACCCCCCCAACCCCCGTCAATAGTCCCAAGACATTTAGGATAAGCCTCTACTACCGTCATGAAGTTATCTCCCATACAAACTACACAAACAATGACTCCCATTGCATTCCTTTGTGCCACATTTTTGCCATTAGAAGCATTTCTAGTGCTTTCCTGAGACATAATGGATTCTTTTTTTGGGGTGGGGTTAATGTCACTCAGTCCCTCCTTCAACTGCTCAGGAGAAACAAACCATTCTTATCCATTTGTGACAGTTTATGCCATAAAAAGCCATCTTTTTGCAGTTTTGGTTTCTGGGCAAAACAATAAATTATTTTCTCAGGAGATGACAAAGAACCAGACCAGAATAATGCCGCTCAGCCCAGCCCCCCACCCCCCCACCCCCACAGAACAGTGCAATTTAAGTCATTTATATCAAATTCAGGTAACCAACTGACTGGGCCATTCCAGGATAGTCACTCCAGTGTAGCTTTGACCTTGTGTTTTAGGTGACTGCCCTGCTGAAAGATGAAGATTGTAGCCTAGATTTAGGTCTTTAGCCAACTGAAGTAGGTTTTTCTTTGCTTTATATATTTGTCCTCTTAATCCTTACAAGCTTCCCATTCCCTGCTAATGGATGGTTTTGACCGAGTGATGCACTATGTTGGATTTGCACTAGATGTAACCCAATATCACATCTAGTTTAAAAAAATCAAATTTTGTCTCATTTGACTACAACTTTTCCTGTTTGCAGTATCACTAAACAAACATGTTTGTTTTGCAAACTCCCTGCAGGAATTGAGATAGGTCTGCCACTCAGCCAAACAGCCAGCTTTGTGGAAAGCTTTTCATTGTGCTTGTGCATATGACAAATAAACCAAACTAAACTTAAGTCACTGGTATATTATGGGCTCTTGCCCATTTTATTCCATTTCACCCACTGAACTTGTCTTTAAAAGCTGCCCTTGGCCTTATGGTGGCATCTGTAACCAGCTTTCCCCTTGCCCAGCTGCACAGTTTGGTGGGACAGCCTTATCTAGGCAGAGCCCAGTGGTGCAATACGCCTGTCACTTCTTAATGATAAACTTCACTGTACTCACAGCAAAACGCACACCTCCTGAACTGCACCTTCCTACAATTTATCCCCAAGTTATGAAAGCTCACAGGTCAATAAAACTTTCAACTTTGCTTGAAATTGAGAACCTCAATAGGTTAAGTGTGTTTATTCTGAAATTATGAGAACCAATGTTATTGCGCACACTAAGACTATTCCAAAATTGTGTGATTTGTCGAAGTAATTTTGTGCACCTGAAGTACAGTAAAAGCTTTACTGGTCTTTTACGAAGCAGACTGCTTTGCTTACTGTTATGTGCTCCATAAAACCAATAAAAAATGTTACCCCTTACTACCGAGGAACATTTCTGGTTCACTGCCATCTTTTGAATGGATGCCACTCGATTACTGTGAACATCCACAACAGAGAAGATATACTTTCTCATCTTTGCCTAGTTTTATCTAAAAATATTTACACAAACCCACATTCTCCGTGCTGCCTTAGCATTGTTCCGCATTGCTTTGTGTGAGTATCTTGTCTCACGTGTGCATAATGCCGAACAATTTTCGCTAGAATGTGTCTTCCACTAAAGGGTAATGCTACCCTTTTAGTCATAGCTGAAAAGCATTCTATGGATGTGGCAAGTAAGCAAACACTACGAATTGAGGTATGTTAAGTTACATAATTTGAAGCAATGCTGTTTGCTTGAATTACTGTTTAATTATTAAAGTACCATACAGTTTAATATAACACTACTGCAGTTGTAAGTGCAAATACACTGTAAAAGAGTGCCTTAAGACTTATATAAATTTTGGCTTACAAATGGTTGTGCTGAACATTTAGCACAAATGCTCATGTGATAACATACTTAAATTTTGATTTACCCAGATATTTGATTATCCAGCACTCCTTATTATATTCATGGATGACTGATAGCTAAACTTTTGCCGTAATTTTGGTTTGCCATAGCAAAGATTGGGTGAATATACATGCAATCAAAATATTTTTAATTTTGTTCTTTCCTTACAGCTTTAACTTAAACTTTTAATTTATTTCACCCATAAATGTACTGACATTGAGCTGTACAAGGTTGTATTAAAATATTCACTTTAAGAAATATCTATGCATCATTTTTAATTAAACAAAATGGGACATCACTTGAAGGGGCTTAATAATTTTGTACTGGCACTGTATATCCATGCATCCACTCATCAATGTAGGTTGCAAAGAATTTTAATTTCTGTATTAGCAATTTATTCGAAGCAGTACAGTTTTTTTAACAAAGGAAGAGTTTTATCAGTATTAAGTGCCTCTTTTAATGTTTCAGGTAGCATTGCAAGAAAACAGGTACATTTCCTATTCTGTAACAGTCTGACCCAGATCAGACACTACCATAGTAGCACTTTTCCACCACAACATGATTTGCTCTTTTGCATAATCAATTCAATTTGCATAAAGATCATGACAGCAGCATTAACACTTTCAATTCCGATCTTATCACAGCTCAAAAGCTGAGGCCCTGGTCAGGACTTCGAAGGAAGACCTCCAAGAAGAACAAAGTCGCAGTTCTTAGTGGTGTTAGTGGACAAATAGGTCATAATATGCTGACTGGGGACACTGTGCTTTAGGAGGTCCCATCCTTCAGATGAGACAGTTAACAGAGATCCTAGTAGACCTGAGCCCCTCTGTAGTGATGCTGCTGGTGTTGTAAAGTGGATACTGCATTTCAGCAGTGGATAAAGTGGGTCACCACCCACAGAACCTACAGTATATGCAGACTGCTTTGGGAATCGATGTGAAGATGGGAAGTGCTACATACAACGACAAACAATTGCATTTATTATTGTTCTCTGGCTCAGAAAACCCAAAAGGGCTCAAATAACAACAGAAACATGATGTGCTTTCCACCCAAAGCCAATCGGCATTGACTCCCCCCCCAAACATTGATACACAAGAAGAGGTAAAATCAAAGTACCTCCATGGCGAGAGCTGCAGTCTGCTGGTCATAGTGGTTCAGCAGGTTGGGCATGAAGGTGGTGTTGTAGGGTAAGTCCTGACACATTCGCAGAATGACAGGCTCACAGGTAAACATGCTGTGCCCTTCCGCTGTATCCATGTGGATTGCCAGATATGTGCACATGGGGAAAAAGATCCAGAGAAACCTCATTCTGTATCACACTCTTCAGATAGCGGAAGCAAAGAAACTTCTTTTAAATTTTGCAATTTACAAAAAGGTTCAATGACAATAAAAAAAAGTCAGGGAATCTTGAAAAGTATAGTCTTAACAAACTCCACCACATCCATTTAATCCAGAAATTTCATCCGTGAAACATTGCAGCTTCTTTTGTTTCCAGGATCATTTGTTAATCTTTGGTAGATCTCTATGATTATCCATCTTCCTTCTCTTGTTCTGGGATTAGGTGCCAGTCGTCAGTCCTTGTCCCTGCTCTCCCCTTACAAACTCTGAGCACTGCAGAACACCCAGAATCACTTTAAATCCCACATACCGAAGACTGTAAGAGCCGGTTGCTGTTGTAAAGTTGCACACCTTGGTGTCCAGTGCACGACCAGCAAAAAAAAAATCAGCAATCGAGCAAATAACCTGGAACAGGGGAGATTAAACATAATGAAGTTTAAAAAGCAACACTCTAATATTACAAGTTTTCAAGTGCCCACTACCTAGCACACATGGAAAGGTTACAATAGCCTATCAAACAACTTTTTTCCACACACATGTATGAAGTTTGGTATTTCACCCTTAGTAAAAATTACTGCCACATTTAAACAGCCCTTTTGATGAGCATTTAGAGCTTTCTGCTTCGGGGCATATGAAGTTGTTTTGATCATATCAAAAGACCCAAATCAATCAGCATAGTCCTTTTCCTCATGTCCTATACTGTACTTGTACTGCTACCATTTGCTTGTAAAATACATGCATTGCAAATCTTGTCTGATATTGATCAAACACCTGCACAGGAATTCAAGGTGTCTACTAATATGGTGATAAAAATGTAGCATTTAAAATAAATAAGCTATATAAGAGGAAGAATGCTGAAGTAGAAGTGAATTTCAAACCAAGACACAATGATAATTGTTAGTTCTACAACCAGAAACTGAAAATATTACAGAAATACAGTCAATTCTAAAGTATGATGCTTAAAATCAATGTTTCTTATATTAGTCTGATTTGCTCTCAGTTGTCTTCCAACATCCAATTAGTAATAATTAAGTGGTTTAGTTTTCACAAAGATCAAACCTATTTCACAGACCTACTGTAAGGAAAGCTTACTCTACAGTCACTCGTTTGTGCAGAGTAATGTCTGATGTTAGTTAATAACTATTGATATAAATAGTATTCAGATTTTGCAGGGAATAGGTTATATCAAACTATTTCACTTCATAAATGTATAACCCAATGATACTTATCTTTTATCTCTGAAATGCTCAAATTAGCGTTGTCTCACATAATACTAGGTACAGTATACATAATGGTACGTAAATACATCGCTCCTCTGTTTGGTAAATCTAGCTTTTAAAAGTATATTCCAAATCGTACACACCCTCGCAGTCAACATACAGCCTTTGTAAAGATTCCTCTTTTGTATTGGATTTCAAGACTTCCAATTACCCCCTGCAAACCGGCTCCCATCCCCCAGACTCGCATCTCCATCCATGTAACCCTATCGCATGTGCATGGTAACACCTTCAGTGCGTGCACAATAATTTCACAGAACAAGACCAAGTAAAGCTACTAGAATGTTTCACATATGGAATTTAATGGGCCCAAAATCCACAAGTCCCGATAGATTTCATAAAGTGAAATGGTTTTCACTTAGGCAAACAGTAGAGATTGCATTTGCCTCGCCTGATTTTTAGCTTAAACGCTAGAAAATGTGTGGCTACATTCATTCAATTTCGAGACGTGTGCTCTTTGGCGCTAACATTGTCGTAATAAACTGAATGAGTCGCGGAGGAAGAAAAAAAACACTTAAAAGCCACAGTATAAAACGCACATTATCGCTATTGTACATTGTAACAACCCAATCGGAAAATCAGCCTCCGTAAACCAATGCAAAAACATGGGAATGCATGACATATACAACGACTAAAAGCATTTTAAGAACCAAAATGATTTCGAAATAAGTTTTATGAATGTTTAAACAATTTATCAAATGAAAGTTCACCTCCAATTCCAGTGATCTCGCAACACAGAGCTGCTCCCTCTGTCTCTAGTGCGGGTGACAATAACGCCAAACCTCTCAGTGCCTTCTTCTTCAGCAGGTTCGTCAGGGCTGCACGGGAGCGCGCAACACAGGGAGCGCGCCGTACTCGGGGACCCAGTGTTGGAGATAAGCAAGCGATTTTCCTCGATGAGGGTAGGAACCATCCACAGACTGAAGTGTGAGAAAGTAAGATCACAGCAGATAAAGTATGACGACCACAAGCGGCTACTAGAGGCAAGCAGGTACATTAACCTGCAGGCTTGTATTGTTTTTGGTAATCTGCACTTTCTGCCCCCCGCATTTTAACCCCGCCCCACAAAATGTTTAATGTGGATATTTAAAATCTAGCATGGCGCCTCGCAACTGCAGTACACATTAGTAGTTGTGTCTGCCTCAAAACCCATTTATACAGGTTTATATTCCATGTTCTGATTTAAATTGATTAATGTTTATCAACGCACAGCGTGTTTAATTTTCTATTACGTTCTCTGTATAAACAAGAGAAATGGTGCACGTATACGTTTGATGTATTTTGTCATATTTCTCTTATGCTGCTTGGTACGAAAAATATAAGCATGAGTACTGGATGAAATGTCACTAATAATAAAAAAGAAACAATGCTCTAATCGTGTGTATTTAGATTTAAACTGGTTTTCTTTGCTGCGTGCGTACTTGTACTATTATTTTGACGTAACACTCTTGTTTTACTTCCTGTGTCTCGGCATGACAAACCGGCGTCACAGTTGCAACTGTCTGACTGCGTGATGCCGTCGCTATTGGCGACTCACTGTTACGGGGGGGTGTGGTAGAATCTTGGTTGTCTTGGAAACGGGTAACGCAAAATGGTCGTCATTAGAAAAGGTAAAGATGTTTTAAAAAAATTATAAAGACCTGTCGGAAATATCAAGGAACTGCAGGTGGCAAACGCATTCCAGGCTCAGATATATCACAAGGTGTCTTAAACTGCGGAAACTGATATTTATTTCAGTTTTAGTTTTTGCTGTTTTTGAGTTAACCCTCTACAATACTGAACACTCGGGCGGATTTTTGAGGCGTATTAAGGTGAGTTGTAGCTAACTTTATAGCCACGGTTTTCACTTATTGAAGTTACTGAAATTTTAATGTGCAAACATTGAAATATTTTATTATAATTATATTTTATTATGTGTATTTTTTCAGAACACAAATCTATTCAAAGAGATCATTTAAGTGACGTTTTCATCGCTGGAGAGTAGGGATATAAAAGAGTCAAGTTTGGGATTCTGGAAACATACTGTGTGTCCACAATATCTTATTCAAGTAGTCAGTTAGAGACTAGAAATGTTGATGTATTTTTATGCCTTATTTATCACTGTTTAGTGTGATAAATACGCACAGCTATTTTCTACATTTCCATGGTGTAGTCATGCTTACGTCATAGTTTACCTGCGTTGTGCTCAGTTTTTTGTCTGTTATATTTTCCCATTATTTCGTTGTGCTTTATTGTACTCTGCTTTTACCATGATATACCATACTAATATCTTACACAGTATTCTTGGGACAGAAGTTAAGTCCATTTCCTGGGATGCTTTTGTAGGGGTAGGTAGACAGTTTCTCTAAAAATAATTCCCTCTTTGTAGATATGATCATAGTCCCTTTGGCAGTCCCCCTAGACATTCCAGGCAGAATGTATGATTTATTTGCAGGGAATCGGCGAAGATTATCAAGCAGCCCAAATCATACATCACTCCAAAGATAGCTAAGTGTCAAAGTTCTTGTTCATCCAAGGAGAGAACGTTCTCATCCTCCTGAAATTACTAGCGGAGACTCCCCCATGCAGTCTCTTTGCCAAGAATGAGCTCCATTTCCATGTATCAGGATTGCTTGTCCTGTGTCTTATGTTTTGTTTGTTCTAACTGAACTTTTAAATGCATAATCTCTTAATTGAACTTTTTTAATAACTACATTTTTATTAACCAAAAAAATATTTTCAGCGCTTAGTCCTTGTAAATATTCCGTTTTGGATGTGTTGCTGCCAAGAGATTTATTAAACAAAAATGTCCTGCAATTGCTGTATTTACCACATCCTTCTTGTCTGTGCTGACTGAGTATTAAATTACTCTTAAATTACAGATTAAAATGGGGATCTCCACATGGGTGAAAGTTTTATATGTCTAGTCATTGTGAATCCTAAAGCAAAAGAGACAGTTTGGGTCATAAAATAGGATCAAATACTGTTGTCAGCAAGCAAAAGCATTTCTTCTAAAAGAGGGTGATGACAGAGAAGTGTGGGGGGAGGTTACATTTGTGCTGAGTATAACTTTGGATCTGATTCCTAGTTATGGTGATTTAGAATGAGTGGTAATACTTCTCTTTCCAAACCTGCAGCTCATAAAATCTAAAGTGACTCACTCTGTTGTGCAGTGGGATATTGCAGATGCTTAAGAAGCCGTCTGAAAACAGAGAACTGATTCTAAAAGATAAATACTTCAGAAATAGTCAAAAATATTATTTTCAGCTAAACTTTTCAAGAGGAATATTTGCCTCTTTTTGCTTCATTTTTTTAATTCTAAAATAGTCCAGTCTGTGCTGTTTTAGTCTCGAGCCACTTGTGTATTTAAGTTCCACCTAGAAAAAGATTAAATTTGGTAAAGTCTACAAACAGATGTTTATGTTCCACCTGAGATCTGAATAGGATTATTATACCCTAATATCGCATCAGACCTTTTTTTACATGGTTAAACCCCTTATAAAGTTGGATGGCGAAAGAATTTAGCTTTAAGCCTATACCAGATGCAATATGTCAGAACTTTCCTCATCTAGGTTTATTGTTTCAATGTCCAGATGTCTGGGATTTATGCAGCTCAGCCCACATGGAGCTAAAATGGCTTTTATTTTAGATTTTAATACAGTATAATGCGGTGTCTGTACATGATTCATTCATATCCAATTAAGAAGTTAAAGACATTTTTGTTTAATAAATCTCTTGGCAGAAACACACCTAAAACTGAATATTTACAAGTGCTGAAAATATTTTTTGGCTAATAAAAATCTAGTTTTTAAATAGTGTAATTAAGAGATTATTCATTTAAAAGTTCAGTTAGAACAAACAAAACATAAGACACCTGCAATTAGTCTAGAATAAGATTAGAAACCTGCTAACCTTTCTGTTTTTTCAATTGTTTTTTTTTTTACCACAAGTTGTTTTCAACTACTGTATCTTGGAAGTATTAAAATGACTAAAACCTAAAGGCATAACCCTAGACTTCACAGAAACTATTTAGATTGTTTTTTAAAAATTGTGTCTATACAGAAACCTTTACCTTGTACCGGAGAAGAATGGCTTTTGCTCCAACCAGACACACAAATGGTTTGAAGATGCAGACAAAGATGA